GGTCTTGGCGGGGGTGGGGGGTGGGGGGAGCTGTCAAGCCCCAGGCTGCAGAGTAGAGTGTCCTGCCGCCACCTGTGCCACAGACCTACCTGTCCCCCCAGACACTGCGGCACCATGAACTCCCCAGAAGGGCCAAGCTTCCCGTTGGGGCTGCTCTCTGGCGGCGCCTCCCCAAGCTGTGACGAGGGCTTCTTCCCCTTCGTGCTGGAGCGGCGGGACTCATTCCTGGGAGGGGGCCCAGGGCCCCAGGAGCCCGAGGACCTGGCCCTGCAGCTGCAGCAGAAGGAGAAAGACTTGCTGTTGGCTGCAGAACTCGGCAAGATGCTTCTGGAGCGCAACGAGGAGCTGCAGCGGCAGCTGGAGACGCTCAGCGCCCAGCACTCTGAGCGTGAGGAAGTGAGCTGGCAGCAGGGGTGGCAGGCAGGGGGCAGGCTGGGCAGATGGAGGGCAGGTGAGCAGGGGTGGAAAGCCAGGGGCAGGGTGGGCAGATGGAGGGCAGGTGAGCAGGGGTGGCAGGCAGGGGGCAGGGTGGGCAGATGGAGGGCAGGTGAGCAGGGGTGGCAGGCAGGGGGCAGGGTGGGCAGATGGAGGGCAGGTGAGCAGGGGTGGCAGGCAGGGGGCAGGGTGGGCAGATGGAGGGCAGGTGAGCAGGGGTGGCAGGCAGGGGGCAGGGTGGGCAGATGGAGGGCAGGTGAGCAGGAAAGCCAGGCAGGGGGCAGGGTGGGCAGATGGAGGGCAGGTGAGCAGGGGTGGAAAGCCAGGCAGGGGGGTGCTTCTGGAATAATTCGGGGCTGGGCCCAGTCCCCCTGGCAGTGTTGTTTGAACATGGGCTCTGAGGACAAGTCAAGACCTGGAATCAGACCCCCGGCCTGACTGTGTGATCCTGGGCAAGCTGCTGGCCCTCTCTGAATCTTGGGTCCACCTCTCATTAGTATAGAGCAACCCCAGCCAAGTTCCTGGGAACCCCCTCCCCGCCTGGCTCTGGGCTAAGCACTTTCCATGCATCATCTCTGTCAATTCTCGCTCCACCTTTGCGGTAGGAACAATTCCTTCCTCTGCCCAGCTTCTGTTGTCAGCCACACTGTCACCCAGGGTCACATCTGGCCCCTGAACACCCTGGGCACCCCTGACTCCGGGATCATGTCATCAGCCCCAACTGCTGCCCTGAGCCCAACCTGAGTAGCTTACCTCCCTGCACCTCTCCGCATAAGTGGCCCTCTTCACTATGACCCATCACCCACTGACCCCACCTCAGGACCAGACCCTGAGCAACTCCATGACCAACTCCAAGCCCTATTGATTCTTCTTCTAAACAGGATCCTGAGGCTGCCCCCTTACCATTTCTACAGCCTCCCATCTGGTCACAGCCTCGATTGTCTTTGCCCCAGACACGGCAGCCACCTCTTCACCAGTCCCCAGCTTCTACTCTTGCTCCCTGGAGCCCACTGCCTATGGGGCAGCCAGAGGGATCTTCAAAAATTACAAATCAGATCATCCCAGTCCTTGCTCAGATTCTCCCAAAGGTTCTTCATCACATTTAGACTGAAATCGAAACTCCTCACCAGAGCCTAAAAGTGCTCATGGGCGGCTTCCCCAACCTGAGCTCAGCTAACCCCC